TAAAGCTATCGGATTGAAACTTTGCACACACCCTTCTTTCCTTTGCACGCAGTATATAAGTCGGAACGGCCGGGATCGGCCGACTATATCCTATAGCTGCCATATAACTGATTGATCGGAAATGCCATAACTTTCGTGTTTGTAAAGTTAGGAAGTTGGGATTTTCTATGGGTTTTATATTTGGCCAATCAATCCGACCTACCAAATTTCATAAGGATCGGCCGACTATATCCTATAGCTGCCATATAACTGATTGATCGGAAATGCCATAACTTTCGTGTTTGTAAAGTTAGGAAGTTGGGATTTTCTATGGGTTTTATATTTGGCCAATCAATCCGACCTACCAAATTTCATAAGGATCGGCCGACTATATCCTATAGCTGCCATATAACTGATTGATCGGAAATGCCATAACTTTGGTGTTTGTAAAGTTAGAAAGTTGGGATTTTCTATGGGTTTTATATTTGGCCAATCAATCCGACCTACCAAATTTCATAAGGATCGGCCGACTATATCCTATAGCTGCCATATAACTGATTGATCGGAAATGCCATTACTTTGGTGTTTGTAAAGTTAGAAAGTTGGGATTTTCTATGGATTTTATTTTTGGCCAATCAATCCGACCTATCAAATTTCATAAGGATCGGCCGACTATATCCTATAGCTGCCATATAACTGAACGATTGGAAATGCCATAACTTTGTTGTTGTTAAAGCTAGGAAGTTCGGATTTTTTATGAGTATTAAGAATGAATAATTTTGGAGAATATAATTTACAGAGTATTCTGCAAGGGTATATCAACTTCGGCTCCGCCCGAAGTTAGCTTTCCTTTCTTGTTAGGTATAAAGTATTTAAATAAATATTTTTTAATTACTTTAATTATAACTCTAAAGGAATTTAAACTTGTAACAAAACTATTCTTTAATTAATACAATACAATATTGGTATTTAAATAAAATATTCTTGCAATAAAAGTAAAATTTTAAATTTTATTTGCTTTAAAGTTTGGTTAGAAGTATAGTTAAACAAAAATCCAAAAAAGAAAATCGTGTTTTTTGGAAGTATTCTCGAATTGAAAGACAAATCTTCTTATCCCCTGAATTTTTAAGTATTTGAACAATAAATGATGGTTAAGATTTTTAATCGAAAACCGTACAATGTTTTCCTCAGTTAAAGTTAATTCGCTTTGATTTTTTTCACTGATTTGTTGTTGTTTTTTTAGGCACAGAGCCACGAAGTGGACTGAGTAAAAACATGTTTGGATTTAATTCTTTTTATTTATTTTCACCGTCGTCGCTGGCGTTTTTTTTTTTGTGCCATGTTGCTTTCTTTCGTTGCTTTTTGGACATGTATCCGAAAGATACTTTTTGTTGTTGCCTGTGTGTGCCACGATGATGACGCTGACAAAGGTCTCCCCGCACCACACTCCCCGTCGCCGTACGCGATTTTAATGAAGCACTTAAAAAGCATAAATGAAAATAAAAACCCAACAAAGGCAACAGACAGCAGATAGCTCCATGGTCCCTGCCGATCCGCAGAACGACAATTGATGTGGAGCCTGTGTTGCCGGGTCTGGACCTCAATCTGGAACCTGGGACTAGCAGCCCCTCTATCTGCCTGCAGTTGATGTGCGGCCGACCCGGGCCGAATCCATCCCCAGATACATTACTTTTTACTGTCGAAGTTTGTCCACAGGCATTGGCAGTACACAGAATTATGGACACAGTGGTACTTGCAAAGTAGTTGAGGATAAATAAAATAAACAGCAATTACTACTATTATTTAAAAAAAAACGTAAGTTTTTTTTATTTTTACTTTAGAAATATAATAACTAGGGCAGTTCGTGAGATTAAAGTTATAAGAATGAAAGGATTAACAGTTATAAGATAAAATATGTTATGTTAACTTAGGAGTACATATTTATAAAAAATTTATTCACTACAATATTAACTTAAACTCTTTTCATCCCTTAAAAAATATTATATATTTAAAAAATATGTTGAATATTTAATTTTTAGCATAAAGATTTTTATTTCAAAGAACATTATTAAAAATGTGAATATCCATTAAATGTATATACGTGTCATCGGTGCGTATATGTATTTAGGAGGCAAGTGTTGTCAACTTAAATATGAATTGAAATTTTTTTTTTAAGTTCAAACTTTTGTTTATTAAATTCTAATTGTAATAGGCAATAACAAGTAGTAGTAAAAAGTCAACTAAGGCAATGTCTACACTAAAAATATTTCTGTTTTTGTAATATTATTTCTCGAATGGTTGAATAAAGATCAGGCTTCACTGTACCCTCAAGTACTTCTTCCCCGACTGCCCAACTGCGACTCAAATTAATTCTAATCTAGCAAATTACGGTGGACCATTTATGCTGCCATAAAAATTAAAGACGCCGACCCTCTCCCTTTTTTTTTTGGCCGATAAGAAAGTGCGTGTGCGTTCATTATGCGGCTCGGTGGGGGAAGCTCATAGTTACGCATCTCACAGATATATTTACGGATCCAGGGCCACCGAGATAGCTCGCAACAGTAGCCAATAAAACGGGGGGCATTAAAAACATTAACAGCCGCATTACAAATGCACGGGGATGTGGCACTGTGGAGTGGCCATCTCGGATTGATAGAGTCGCCATTGACAATTGCCGTTGTCGTTGAATAATTAAGCGGGGGCACGGATAAGTAGCCCATCCCCCATCCGACCCCAATTCATTGCTAAATTATGCCAGCAAATAGGGCCCATTTCGTACAGTCACATCATATACTGGGCAATTGGCACTAATCGAATTGATTCTTGAGTGACTTTCATCTTCGTAGTCGTTCGATGGTCGCTATTGTCGGTTTTATCCACTATGTGAGCCATTTCAATTTTTTTATGACTCCGAATTAATCGCTGTGTGGGGGTTTGTTGGTATGATAGCGAAGCCATCTAATTGATGTCTTAAAACAAGTTGTGTATAAACATTTGGTACTTAAATTAATATCAATGTGTACCCCATCAACAGAAATAATTTATGTTCTTTGCTTTTAGTTTTATCGTAAAATTTTGATTTCAAAATATAATGACTTTAATATTCGTTTAGTCTGTGTACATTATAAAGTATGCTTTATTCCAAACATAGCGTGTTAATAAAATAATCAAAAGTTATTTCCAGATCAACAATTTGTACGATACATACATATGTACATACTAAGTAGAAATGAAGTTTTTGCGATAGGTCAGTAACTCTTTAATCAACATTGGAGCAATGATCCAAAAAAGCGTTGTAAACACTAAATTCGAACTTTCTCTCGGTTTTATTTGTACATTTTGAAAACGTTGTAATGGGTGCTCTTTGGTTTATTTTAAGTAACACAAATCCGCTCCCGAACGCAAACACCCCACTATGTAAATAGTTGACCACCTCTGATTTATGCCGAATCTTGTTTGTTTTGCAGTCTCGTTCTCGCCCGCTGAATGTAGATATCTAATGGTGGGGAAGGGGGGTGTTGGGGGGTAGGTGGTGTGGCAAAGCATGAGGTGGGCGGTGTGCGGTGGGAGGAGGTAGGTGGTTGGTGGGGGAGGTGCGCTGTGGGTCGGTGCTCGGCATCGGGGTCTGGGGCACTGAGTAAATGAACGCTGCGCCTACGAAGAGCAATACCAACACCACTGCATTTGGTGTGCGTGTGTGGGCGGGTGTGCGAGTGTGCGTGATGCAATTGTGTGCAGTTGTAGTTGCGGGTTCATTGCACGTACACTCGCACAAACACACGCACAGCACCCAAAACGGCCAACGACGAACCGACCAAACGACCGAGCGACCCACCCATCAGTGCTGACGGTTTTTGCATAAAACAGCTAAGCTTGAAAACAAATCGAAAAAAATCGCAAAACCAAAAAACTTAACTTTTCAAAAGGCGGAGTTCTATGTTAGACAGCATAAAGCATACTTTAAGGGGCTTGAACACCTTTGAAGGAATATTTTGCAAAAACATAAAATGTACTACATATGTAAATGGTAAAATATTATATTTTATATAATCCTTTGATCAAATCTGGAATCAATTTTTATACACGTCCTAATAACAAAAGCATTCAGAAAAATCTTTGAATATCATAAAATCATTGTACATAGAAACGGAGGGGACTAACTGTAAATACACTTGGATTAATAGTTCTAGTGATAAAATTCCCACATGTGTATTGAAACAAAAATTTTATTTTATGTTTTGGGCGTTGCGAAAAAAATTACTCATACGACAAAGGCAACAGTGCGAATGAGTGATATACTTTAAAATACAATTAGCAGACCTTAAAACGTTTTTTTTACGAGAAATACATTTTAGTATGCCTTAAATTGAGAATATAAATGAATATATATATATTTGGAACTTTGGGGTCATCCCCAAAATTGTAAAATATAGATTTCATATCATCCAAGGAATATCTTGCAAAATTATTGCAAGCTGCATCTTAAAATCAAAGCCAGATGTGACATTACTGCCGAATGTGCATAACTGGGCCCCCCATTCAGTCCGTCGGTTACTTCGTCACTTTGTTGCGTGTTCGTGCTGCAGTTGTTGTTTGCCCTGGTTGTAGTAGTTGTTGCTGGGTCTCCGGTTTAGACAGCCGGGCTTCGGACTCCGGGTCCCCGCCTCCCTCTCCAATTCATTTTCGCCCCTATCCCCACATACCCCCCTTTGACCACCTTTACTGCCACTCGACTTCGGTCATCGTGGATTTCTCTGCTCTCCGTTTTGCGGACCTGCATTTTGCTCTGCACTCTTGGCTGCTCTTTTGTTTCGCTTTTCGTTGCTTCTAATGCTCCCCCTCCCCTCCCCCTTTCGACAAACTCTTTTTCGTTGGCTCCAAGTTAGAGCGAGATAGTGAGACCCCGAACGAAAGAGAGGGAGCTTGTTTATCGTTGCCTTTCTTTTGGGCTGCCTGCCCGCTGCTTTTTTCCTCCTTCTTCTTCTTTCCGTGCTTTTCTTCTCAGTTGTTTTTTTGGTTTTTTGCAGCTCTGAGCTTCGCTGCTGCGGCGGTGTGTTGTTGCTTTTTGTCTGTCTCCTCTTTGGTCTGGTTGCTTTTGTTGCTTTTGTCTGTTTTGCTTTTTCGCCCTGCCATCTTACACACTCACATTACTCATACACCTACACGCGCGGGAGACTTTTGTATGTAAAACTGACGTCGCTGCTGCCTCTTTTTTGTTGTTGTCTTCTTTCTTTATTTTTTTGCACATTCTCCCTGTTCTCTCTTCTCGCCTGCATTTTGTGTATCTCATCTCGTGTACGCTTTCGCTGCCTTTCCAATCTCTTCGGCATCGAGGCAGCAACAACAACAACATCGAAAAGCTGGCGTCGTCGTCGCCGTCATCGTTTTCTCTATTTTCCTCAATCGCTGTGCCTTTTCATTTTCAATTCGCATATTTTTGCAAACTCTACTTTCAGTTATTCGCCGATAATTGATGTCAAAGGACGCAGTTGTGCTCCGCCGGCGTTGTTCTCGTCGTTGCCTTTTAAAAAAATTGTCCCGGTATTCAGTGCCAGTGTGGCCAGTCCAGTGCCAGTGTGACCATGCCCAAGGAGGATCCTTTCGTAAATCGCGCCCAGCTTTTAAAGGCGATCAAGAAATATCCGGAGATCTGGGACTCCAACAACAAGCTGCACATGTGCCGCAGTGTCACATCGCCTATGTGGACGGAGATCGCTGAGCAGTTCGGCGGTCATGTGCCGACAGGTGAGTGCGACAAGGATGCCAGTCCATTAAACCCCCCTTTTACTCTGCGGCACTGCCCCATTCTCCCACTCGCAACCGGTACTGATTTGTTGCTGCCTTTCGCGCTCTCCTTTCGAGTTCTCTTTTGGTGCGCACTCAGTGGCGGAGTCATAATTTGTTAAGGGGGATCTTAAACTTATCTAAACTTAACATTCCTCATATTGAATTTATTTTATCCTAATGTTTTCAATAATTTAAATGTTTAAAAGATAATCTTTCTACACAGAAAAACATATTGATATTATATCAGTTAAAATAGGCTAGGATATAAAAAGCCATAGTTCAGAATCCACCGATGAATTTTTATATATACTAACTGTTTATGGTTTAAATTTTTATTAATAGTTTCAGATTTAAACCTTTGAACATTTAGCTATCGCACGGTATATTCCACAATTTAAACAATTTTAAAATTATATTAATTCGATTTCTTTCAAAATAAAATGTCAAACGATTATTTATTATCCCCCTAAACTTAAACTTTGTCTTTTCTCTGCTTACGTCACTGTGCTTAGTCTAAAAATAAGTAAAGGGCGCTTCGGCAAGGAATCGGAGGTCTCGGTCCGTTTGGAATAATAGAAGAGCTTACACCACTATATAATGCAAATTGAAGCTTTCGCAATAGAAATAATTGACTGGTGTAATGTACTTTGATAAATACAATTGGGTGGCTCAATATACATACAAACATAGTCATAAACACGCCACTAGATTGTAAAATAATAATGAATGGAAAGACTAGCTTTGGCATATAAGAATATAATGATAAAAATCCCCTATTTATTGTTTAGTCAAACTAAAATACAATATTGATTGAGATTTTTAATCCAAAATTTTTTTAAAACCTTAGCAAAATAAAAGCTTCCTTATTATCTTTACCACATTTAAATTTAAAATTAAAGCTTAGTTCAATAAATTGGTTAAATATTAGTCAGACTGGCTTAATTTATCATTGTCAATTACTTTCCCTAACATTAATTATGCCTTGCAAATGTTTATGATCAGTTAAGCTGCAATCGATTTGGAGCCAGATGAAGTACCACTACCACAATTTGGTCCACCGACAGATCCTGCATAAGGATCGCTTCAACACCAAGTGGGAGCACTTCGAGCCGATGTCCTTTATGTACAACATAACGGTGGCAAAGATCGTGGGTGCCCAGTCGAGTGGTGGTGGTGGCACCTCCTCCGATGATCCGCCCACTGCCCCCGAGATGCCGACCGCTGGGGAGGAACCCGTTGCATCAGCACAACCACCACCACCTTTGCCCAGCGCCTCTCATGGACGCGGGCGTCCCAGCGGCAGTTTCAGCTGGCTGCAGTCCGCTGTCACGCCCACCGCCCCTCAACTGCCACATCTCATCGCCCAGCCGATCCATGGACAAGGCCACGCAATGACCTATACTGCTTTCACGGGGTTGGTACCTCCACCAGCTGCAGTAACTTTGGAGACAGTGGCCACGCCCCCACGAAAATTGGGCCGCCCCAGTTCATTGCATAATAGTATGCGCGGACGTATCATCGATGCCATAAAAACGCGTCCTTCACTTTGGGCGGGACGTCAGCGGAGCGAAAAGGGACAGGGCCAGAGTCGAACGTCGGCGGTTTGGAAGGAGGCGGCCATCGAGATGGGATTGACACCAAGTAAGTAGATCTATATTTTACAAGAATATTATATTTAATGATATATATAATATATTTTATATTGATATTAAATAAGATCCATTTTAAATTTACAAGTTGGATTCGCAATAAATTAATGATTTTTGAAGTCATAACCAAAATCCAAAATATTCGATTTGTTGCAGCTCTCATGCAGACTCGCTGGTCGATCATCAAGCAGCGGTATGTGGACGAACTGCAGAAGGAGCGCCACGCCCAATACTCCCACCAGGGATTCCGATCCACATGGGAGCACTTCGATCGAATGTCGTTTATGCGCGACATCCTGCTGAAGAAGGTCGACGAGCGGGAGCAGACACGCGAACAGATCCAGGAGATCGTCAGCGAACAGCAGCACCAACAGCAGCCGCAGCTCCACTCGTCGCAGCACTTGCACCAATACCGTCCACCGCCGCCCCCATCCGGGCTGGTGGAGCACGCCCAGGACATGCCCATCGGATTGGTGCAGCACCACCATGAAGGACACCAGCCGCCGCTGGCCATGCACCACCCCCACCACCCACAAGCCATTCGCCGGCGGGTCAAGCACGAGTCTGATCTCGAGTGGGACCCCTTTGAGATGATCCTTCACGTCCACGGCGCAGGCGAGCCGGCTGCCAACTGAAGACTGAGAAATTAGGAACAGCAAAGCCCTAGGTACACCTGAGAAAAAGCTTAAGGAAACGAGATACATGATTACTCCACAGAAATTGTATTGCTCTTTATTTAGTTTAAATTGCAGACTTTAAATCATAATTATTTACTTTCGAGGATTGAATTGTATTGAAATTATGGGACACAAATTTAAAGCTTACAAAATTAATAATTGTTTGCATACAAAATATGTTTATTACGATTCAAACCAGCTCTTAAGTGTCAGAAAATCGTTCCCTTAATACTTCTTCTCAGGTGGAATTGAAAAAATAGGGGACCTATACGTCCTTAATATAATCGTCAGATGTAAAACCATTAGCCTACACCCCATGCCCACATCTATATTAAAACCATTTTGTAATTCCTTTTTCTACTACTCTGAAATTAAAACACTCTAAATAAAACATCACTTAGAGATATGAAATTAAAGTTTTTAATTTTAGTTAATTTGGGAAGAATAATACAACTATGTATTAAAAAGAGGGAGATATAAAACTTGAATAATTTAGTCTTTCCTAGAAATTAAAAAGGTTAATCCTTAAAACTTCTTGAGTCCCAATTTGATAAATTATTTTATATTGAAATAAAAGTCTTGAAGTCGATACTGTAATTGATACCATTCAGTTTAGATTACCGGGTATATATATCGCCAATATCAATTTCCACAAGAACTCGATTGTAATATCTGAATGGAACAAGATTTATTCCACCTGAAGTGCTTTGCACTCAATCAATTCCGATAATCGTGATGCGATGCGACGGATTTGAGGTTCGAGAACGCCCCGAGCGCGAAAACTAAATTATGCTAATTCTCACAGTGTGTGCAACATTTGTCGATTGCCAAAATGGCAAACATGTTCCACACTGTACTCACACTGCCACACCGACTCATCCAATAAAGCTCTGCTTTTCCCCCCATCCATCGCAACGTTTTGTGGATTTGTGTAAATTTCTGGCTGAGGGCCATGGGCGGAACACGCGTAATTCCAATCACGTGCCAGTCCAGAGAAGAAAAGTTCTCAAACTGTAAAACGTTTATCAAAATGTAACCCGCCTCCCGTCCGGCCCCCAAAGCCACCCACATAATTGGCCAAAAGGATACCGTCCTCCTTTCCCTTCCCCTCCCTCCCCTCGCAGACTCCGACAATATCTTCAATAATAAATGCATTTCACTGTCGAATTTGCCGCATTCTGCACAACACACGTGCCTTAAATAATTCACGTCGCATTTAGCGGCGTTTTTGCCAAGCCTCTAATGGGCCCAGCGATTTGTAAGGGGGCGTGACGGGATGGGCGGTGCGGCAACGGGGGGCGTGGCACGCCGCCAGGTAAAGTGGAAAGTAGTTGGCTACGTTTTACGTTCTAGTTCGAGGCGAAAATTTGCCTAAAAACTCAAGTAGTTTGTTCAAACTTTTATGCTCCGTGCATTTATCAACGCCAGCCAGGTCGGAAAAAAGGGGATGGAAAAGCTGGGATGGGAAAACCCATCCAGGAGTCCATGAAGCGCAGCAGCCCGGAGCAACAGCGCTGCCGTGTAAAAGTTTCCACACAGCCGTGGGTGGGTTAGATGATGGAGCGTTATTTAAATGGTTTTCGGATGCGTACGTGCGAAAATGTTAGTAATAATCCAGGTGCCAGAAACCAGGACGCAGGAGTGTTATATCCTTACCTTGGGAAAAAATGTGTGCGATTTGTTAGCTCCAACGGATTCCTCAAAAGGAATTTCAACTATTGGGAATTTCTATCAAATTAAATCGGATTGCTTTATGCAAATTTTCATCACACATTTAGGTAAGTATATTTTGTAAAATAAAGCTTAGAAGAATCTTAAGATTAATTACGTTTCCCATTTTTTGAAACCTTTCTTAATATTCAAAAAATGAAAAATATTTAAAATAACTTTTTAAAAATAGCTTTGATAAATCAAATGGTATCTGTTCCAAGAAATTTCATGATTTCTTTGTAAGTTCAATTATCGCTTATTTATTTGGGTTCCCAGAGATTTTTAAAACCCAGTGTCAGGGGACCAATTAAAGCTTCGCCACTTAAGAATTCCCTGTAATTATAAGTTTTGTAGTTGTGTAATTATTATTTTTTTGTTGATTGATAACATTTTTCTGTTGAAACTCTGTGCGTCACGTAAAATAACAACAAGATAGAACGCTATAGTCGGGTGCCCCGACTATCAGATGCCCGTTACTCAGGTAAAGGGAGTGCGAGGGAGATGGAAATAGAAACTTTGAAAAAAAAAAAAAAAAAATTTCTTCTACATTTCGATAGGTATTGATAAACACAATAAAACTGCATTTTTACTTTTCCGAAATATTTAAATTTTTAAAATCGTATATAAGCGATTGTGGGCGTTAAAGGGGGCGTGGCACCTTTTTGAAACAAACTTGCGCTGCGTAGGAACTCCTAGAATCTGCATGCAAAATGCCAATCTTCTAGCTTTCATAGTTTCCGAGATCTCAGCGTTCATACGGACAGACAGACAGACAGACGGACAGACGGACAGACGGACAGACGGACAGACGGACAGACGGACAGCTAGTGACCCTGATCAAGAATATATATACTTTATAGGGTCGGAAACGCTTCCTTCTAGCTGTTACATACTTTTGCACGAATACAATATACCCTTTTACTCTACGAGTAACGGGTATAAAAAGTATAGAATTTTATGAAAATCGACAAAAAAGTTATATACAAATTTAAGAAACTATTCGATATCTAGGTGAAAAGTTCAATTTTCTGTAAAAATGTTTTTAAACATTAAAAACATTGTATTTTTGGTTTTTTCTGTTCGTAATGGTATTTCAATAAGTTTGGTTTTACCTCATTAGAGATATAGATTTGAAATAGTTGCATATTTGGCGGATACTAATATTTTTGCATGGGGCCGGTGTAATGGCTTTCGAGTGGTACGTGAGCCGGGAAAACTTCGCTTGCCTAAATGCTCGGTAGGTGATTTCTTTCCGCAGGAAGTACGCATACACACGCACTTAGCACACACACACTCAAATCATTTTCCACGCCCACTCGTCCCCACACAAACACACTCACACACACACACACACATGATAAGAATGCTTATGTGAATTATCGCACATTTTACGGAATCGAAAAAGAGGTTTCAGGGGGACTTTGTAACGGGAAAGAACTAGAAAACTTGTCTAAAAGTGCGCACTCCACTCATATATGTACATATATATGTATACATATCTCCAAGGCGGACATGCCGACAGTAGCGCATAAAAACTTTTAAATTTACTTTTGCTAAGAGTTTTTTCCCGCCCCCTAACCAGCCACGCCCCTCCCTGGCCATGCATATTCATTTCAAAATCCGCACACATACACATGGCCAAGTTTTCTTGGTAAAGTTCCTTTACCCCTTTTCCTCCAGAAAATCAACGAACTGTGAGAGAGGCAAACAAAAAAAAGTTTTGGGCTAAAGGTGGGCAAGGGTTTTTCGTTGCCGGAGGGGGGAGGGGGCATAAGGGTTTTCCGGATATGGATCCGGAGCGGCATCGCTTAATAGAGCTGCCAAAATTTGTGTGCCTCAGGTTGCGTTGCTTGTCGACAGACGCGGCGTTACAAGCGCTCCAAATTGCTCACTTCTCGGGGCGCTCCGTTCTTCCACCGTACCACCCTCCCACTGTAAAACACCCCCAACCCCCCCTAATTTCCCGTTCAAAACCCCTCTTTAAAGCTCCATGCCCTGCCACCAAAATCCCAGCCAATTCCCCCGACTGCCAAGCAACTATGATGTGGCTGTCTTCCCATTTTTGCACACTTGTCTATTTTTCGGTCTTGCCACAGTGGAAATTTTCACAATTTATTCCGTATTTGATTACTATTTTTATCTGCCCAATGAATAACTACTATAACATATATGGTTTAGAACCTCTGGTCATCTTAAAATGGGACTCAAAATCAAACTGCAGTTTTTTAAATATTATTTCTAATATTTTTGCATACTTGTCTATTTTTGGTCTTGCCACTATGCAATTGTTTCAATGCTGCTTATAAAATTATTATTTGTAAATATTATATAAATAATTTTCTTTTTCTATTTAAGTCAATCGTAGAAAAAGGCGAAGTCTATTTTATAAATTAAGTTTAATCAAAGGTTTCCTAAAGAATGTCTTTAAGAATCCTCCCCCTTTTTATGGTCAGTATGTTATCCCATTTCTATCTTGATAAATATTGGCAGTCAAAAACACTCCCCCAGCTGAGAAATCAAACATGGCCAAGATTCATATCGCCATCTCCTTGGGTTTGAGCCCACCCCGGATGGCTTTGAATACGAAAATTCCAAAATAACTTCGATAAGTTCTTTATTTGACAAGTTACCCACTGTGCCATTTGGGTCCACGTGGGGTTTACCCACCTCCAGTCCTTCGTTTCGTGCAGGCCCTTTTTTTGTGATGGGTGATGGGGGGAATGTTTGCTGTAAAATGTTGGGCCACGTATCCTGCAGCAATTCGTAAACTAATTCTACATACGTGCCCGTGTCAGCTATCACCCATCCGCCCCGTTGGCTTCCCGCAGAGCGACCAAATCGTTACGTGCGTTGGGCCACGGTAGCGCCCTCTGTGGGCCGTGCGTCATGTTTTGATTGGCGTCATGTACACGGACGGATTCGGATTCGGATTCGCTCCGCTTTTCCACACACAACGGTTGGAAATGGATGGTGGCTGCACGGAAAATAAATACTTAAGTATGTTTCCACAACAGTTATTTTCTGCATATGACTTTTATATAACCTTATGGTACTTAAAAATGTTTAAATGTGCCTTCAAAAAACCCTTATAAACTCGAAAACTCTTTATGTAAATTAACAAAGCTGAAATAATTTGTCAATTACCAGATTTTCTTTTTTCATATACAATAATAAATTTAACGAAATTAAAAAAAATAATACAAGAGCATTAACAGATTTTGTAAAATAATATTTATAATCTGAATTTTTATTTACTTATGATTATCTTTATTTATAAATTCAGTATAGTATCCTATTTTAATGTTTTTCGAATCTAAACATTTTAACGTAGTTTTAGCGGTATCCATGCTAAAGCCAGTATCATAAAATTAATAACATATTGGAAAGTACTAGACATTCTACCCTGTATTAGATATTTTAGCCTCTAAAGTTAACTTTTTATTGGTCTTTATCTGGTTAATTTTTGCAGTGTGCTTGGGTTAGGTTCGCTTTTTTCTGCTAATAAATAATTGCATTTTCACCTCAAGAACTCACTGACAGACGATGCCCGAGGGGCGTGAGGCAGAAGGGCTGGGTGATTTTCTCCGAGGGTGACACAATTCAATTTGCCCGCGTTTCCGTTCCAACTGCAGGTGGCTGGTTGGTGTATTGCCAGTTTTTGTAATTCCATTTCTGATTTCATATTTTGCTGTCAC